TCCCAGAAGTCATTCTCTGTTGGCAGTGACGGGGACGTACCCTAATGAAAATGAAGTTAGCCTATGAACACGGTCTTCAAAAATAGGGCATGGCGGTAGTTTCACAGCTAAAATAGTGGGGGGGGTCAATTTTCGTTACAAAAATACTTTTTTTTTTTTTTTTTTTTGTTGCAGCTTTAGAGGTCCCCGTAGTTTCACAGCAAGAAAAAAAATTGCAGGTGGGGGGGGTCCCAGTGTCCCACTTTCCGTGCAAAAGAAAAGATATTTCGGACCCGTACAACAATTCTGCGGCTGCGACGAAACTTCGATAATGCGCTAGGATTACCCCTGTTTTATTTATTTATTTATTTATTTATATTCATTTTCAGAGGAAATCTGGTGGAAGGCATTTTTCTACTAAAAGAGAAATATAGTGCTTTTCTAAGTTTTCTTTTCAAATTTGAGAAAATGAAGGGTTCGCGGGTGCACTGCCAACGACTGAAGTCCTTTGGGGGGTCTAATTGGCAGAATTCGGTTGCAGGCGCATTTGATGTATGACTTTGGTGGGAAAAAAAAAAAAGATTGATGACTTTGTTAAGTTTGGATGATGATGTAAAGCTCCTCTGTTTTTGATGGGTTTTTCACAATTCTGTGCTTTTCTGAAATTCTGAGTGCTTGTGGAAATTCTTTTTTTTTTTTTTTTAGTTAAAAAAAAAAGAGAAAACTACAGCGCAGTTTCTTGACTGCGTCAGAGTTATGCCCTTAAAAAAAACAGAAGGTAATTACAGCAATTTTCAGAAAATGAACTTTAAAAAAAAAAAAAAAAAAAAAAAAAAAAAAAAAAACTCCCCTGAGTTTTTTTTATTGCGAAACAAACTCAGGCCCCTACAGTCCCTCAACTGGGGTGAAGCCCCCTGAGACTCGCTGACAGTTTGTTTTGCAATAAATGCCATCCCCATTGTGTCAGGAAAGAGGGACCAAGGGTGAAGGACCGTGAACCCTTGTTTTTTCGCCTTTTTTTGGGCCCCAATCATGGCCAGTTTCACCCCGTAAAACCATGTGGCGCTGTCTTGGCCTCCTTTCCAGGGCCTTTCTGGGCCCTGCCCAGTGCCATACCGCCGTTCACCGTGAACGGCAGCCAGTGACCAGTCACGAACCGGGGCAAGGTCCCACTTGCACGGATTACATGATTCTGACCGTTGATCTGTGCTATCTACGGTCAATATCTCTTACTTGGTGTAAGTGGGACCTGGGCCCCGGTAGGACTTCACGTAGTTCAGGACGAGCAAGGTCGGTTTTTTTTTTTTTTTTTTTTTTTTTTTGGTGGGGGGGGGGGTTTTTTTTTTTTTGGGGGGGGGGGGGTTTTTTTTTTTTTTTTTTTTTTTTTTTTGTGGCTGGGGAGGGTGTTTTTATTTTTGTACGAGGGTGGGGGTTATCAGAGGGGGTAACCACCCATAATTTTTTCATTCTTTTTCATAAGTTTTTTTTTAATAAAAAGGAATCATGGAACTAGCCAAATACTAGCATTTTTGTTTCTTGTTTTGTAGGTTATTTCGATTTTTATTTTTAATTTTTATTTTTAATGTCATCACGCTGTGGGGCTTGTGGCTACTGTAGCAGGGTAAGCCGGAAAAAAAAGTAAAAAACACGACGCTTTCAATCCCTTTCAGGGTTTGGCCTTTCACCGTGAATGGCTGTCTCACGTTCACAGTGATGGCACTGGCACTGGCCCTGCCCCTGCCCTTGTTCACTTACCGTGCGAAAAAATTCAGCCCCGCCCACTTCATGTCAGGCACGGGGGACCAGGGTCCAGGGGTGAAGCCTTTTTTTTTGGCTCAAAAAATCATGGCCAGTTTCAGCCCGTAGCCCCGTACTAACATGTGGCCCTGTACACCACAGTGAGCACACATGCCATGCGTGGATCGAGAGGCCACGGAGTCAAGGGGCCTCGCTGCACTACTCTCCAAATGCACAAACGGAGAATGAATCTTCTACTAGAACATGGAAAGATACACCGCCATATTTTTTGTCTTTTGTGCATGTGGAGAGTAGTGCAGCGAGGCACAAGGACTTCTGTTGGAAGGTTCCAGTTTCTTCACCCACCCCCCCCCGACAACTTTACGGCGGCACGGACGCCCACCAAGTTTGCTGCTTGCAGAGCACTCTTCCTCCTCTCCTCACTTCATTCTTCGCTTCGGGTCTCGCTGCACTACTCTACTTTTCGCAAATTCGGAGAGTTATGCATCGCTGCACGAACTCTCCGATAGAAAACCCCAAAAGAAATCCGGAGAGCTGTCAGAGGCCACAAAAGAATTGCACTCTCCGCCGTCGGAGAGTGCCCAGCCTGTATCTGCAAAATCCGTTACGGGGAGAGACCTTCGAAGGAACCACCTATTTGCTCCGAATCTGGAGAGTGAACCTTGAGTCTGGGCAGACAACGGGGGACTTTGAGCTGCTGTCGTTTTGTACCCTCGATAGTTGTAGAGTCTGAGTTTGCAGAGTTAGTGCAGCGATGACCCAAAATCCACCGGGAAATCGGGGAGTCCGGAGAGTGTGACAACTGTCCGTGTACTCTCCGATTTCCCAGAGAGTGGAGAGTAGTGCAGCGAGACCCATTGTGTTATAATTCCCTACCTGCAGTTAGCACAGATTTACAGTGCTTGTGGCATTGCTTTCTTTTGGGGGAATCTACGCGGCTGTCACAAAAACAGTTTTAAATTGCACACATTTACAGTGGTTGCGGCATTGCTATCCTTTTGGGGGAATCTACACGGCCATCACAAAAACAGCTTTAAATTGCACACATTTACAGTGGTTGTGGCTTTGCTTTCCTTTTGGGGGAATCTATGCGGCTGTCACAAAAACAGTTTGAAATTGCACCTCAGGAATTCGGCCTGAAAATGTCCAAAGCATACAAGCTAGCTTTCTGACCCGGTATGGTCTAGACAGGGGGGTGTTTTGCTTGGGGGAAGTTTCAGACTTGTCCAATGCATACAAGCTAGCTTTCCGGTCAGGTACGGTCAAGAGGGGTTGTGTTATGTTTGGGGGAATGTCGGAAGTGACATTCCAATCTGTTCCTGTGACCGCCACTGTCGCCACATAGTTACCCCTTCCTTTTTTTTTTTTTACCGGGAATATGCAGTGATTTCATGTCAGATACCTCAACAAAAGT